AGATATCTAAGTAGTTATGTAGATGTTAAGCCTACACACTTTTCGAGCGATTAGGGTTAGGTAAGTACCTATCCGAGAGATAGGGCTTAATTTTTGCATAATGATAATTATTGATACTTATTTAAAATTTTGGCATGGTGTGGCATTGTAGTTTTCCGCATCAGTATTACAACGTCATAAACGTAAATTGTTTTCAGCACAATCGGGGTTTGGCGTGTCAAACCATCGGGGTCTGGCGTAGACCATCGGACTTTGGCGTGGCCATCGGACTTTGGAGTACCGTCGCACTTTGGAGTCCTACATATCTATTATATTGAGCATTTCACAGTGTTACACGTGTGCGAACACGCACGCACATGCTTGCAAAATGACCTTCGTTCCGCATATCTACATAACGTACCTAGTGACCCTAAAAAGGTTTCACGTAGATCGGATGAGTAGTTTACGAGAACACTCGCGGACAAAAAAGTACCGGAGAACAAAGAAGAAAATTCAGAAAAAGTAAAAACAATATGTTCTCAAACTTCGTTTGGGGAACATAATAAGCAATTCTCAGAATCAAACAGAAAAGGCCAATGTTATTTAATAACACAACGAAATTGATATCGTAGAGACTATCTATAGTACAGATTTTTTTTTCCACAATGCTAAACCTAGAAGATTTCCTAGACTGTCCGATCGTGAATGCGATTCCAGTTATATGCAATATATTTTATTAAAAACTATCTCTAAATAAAATTTAATGCCGAAAGTTAGCCGAAAAAATTGTGTCGAAACGCGCTTGGTACAAAGTTAATACCGAAATAAATTTTACCATTTCATTTTCTTTCAGGATGTGTTTCATGTGCTCTACTTTAATTCTAATTTCAACAAGTGTTTGACATACATTATTCGATGAGGAAATTGAAATAGACACAGTAGTATTGGAAAATATACCTCAATTACAGTTTAACTAAAACATTACATTTTATTTATTGTATTGAATTTCATCATCCAGATTTTTATTTATTTTATTCTTGAAATACCTTTTGAGTTCTTGAATAAATGCATTTACTGATTTGAACAAATTCTATTTTGTTATAATACATAAATAAATCAGATAGAAGACATTTAAGAAATAAACAACGTTATTTAGTGAACATGGCGTTATGAATAGCAATTGCTCTGCTGGCATATTCCATGGAAAATATGCCAGCAGAGCTATTGCTATTCATATTGCTTTGTTCATTAAATGATATTTGTTTATTACTAGTACTTATATTTTTTTTACTTTGATTTTTTGATAACGCTTTGTTCACTGAATAATCTCTGTTTATTACTTACATTTTTTGATTTTATATTCTTTGATATTGTCAAGAATATCAGAGGAAATCATGACTTACATCAGGATTGTTGTCTTCAGTAAAGAAAAACAAATGGCTATAAAACCAAACTTCATGATAATTGCACCTTTTCTCTAATAATTCAGAAACAAATTGTACAGTATTTCCTCTTTAACACAGTCATTTGGATACAAGCTGCACTCTCGATACATTCTCTTAGGCTAATTTTTGTTTTGATTCAGTTGTAATGTCATCGTTGCAGTTATTTATGAAACTATATAACTCAAAAAATAATGATTCATAGTTGGAGAGATCAGTGAATATGCAAATATAATCTATATAAGCTGTCTCCACAGGTACAAGAATGATCCAATATACATAATTTAATAATACATATAGTTACTGGTTCATATCATTAATATATTATAGGTAAGTAACATGAAATTGACTGGATTTTTTCAAAGCCTAAAAACGTCCAATGTCGATGCCAAATTAAAAAAAAATATCTAGGCTATACAAATGTGCAAAATGGTGGCATTTTGCTAAAGCATGTTTTACTAAAATAAAATACAATTGTCTGCAAATTTTTCTAACAACCCTCGTATTTACTCTGCGCAGCACTGTTAAGGCTAGAAAAAGGGGGCGGGGCCTAATTTATACGGGAAAAGTTAACTGTGACGTCACACCAAAAAAATGACTTTTATGCATTCCTCATATTACCCAAAAATGAAGTAATTTGCAACTTTAAACTTCATTAGCATAATAAACAACAATAAAAGTTATCAATGCATTAACAAAAGTCGCTAGTTAAATCCCATACAGCTGGTTTTAAACAAATCACTGATCTCGATGAACTTGTCAATCATGACGTCATTTTGGTAAAAATGACGTATTTCATGTGCTGTGAAAGGCAGATTTAGGAATTTTTTAACAATGAAAAATGCGTTTAATTATAAAACAGAATATTATTTACAGGTTTTTAATAGGCTAATAATACTAATGTATATCATTTGTTTAATGCGATTATTCATTAACTATCGAGATATTGTATTTAGACAAATTTTGTCGTGTTTTTATGTTCAGGTTAGGTATATTTTACATCGAGGTGCCTCATTAAATCGCTCTTTCGCAAGGGCATACACTAAATAAATCTTGACCGTTTTTTGAATATAAATAGAGGATATCTTCCTTAACTTGAAAAGTGCTGCTGCTTTCTTGAAACCGAGAGCATGACTTTATAAGTACACAAAATATTTGATAAAATTTAAACATATTTCGACATTAGACTATTTGCTTGAAATTTTAACTATTAAAACGCGGATTCTATTCAAAGCAGCAGCACTTTCCAGAAAGTACAAAATATGCAGAAACAATTAAAAGCTTGAATTTTTAATTTCAACTAGGGTATGCCCTTGCGATATTGAAATTTGTTGTTGACCTACATTCCGTGTACCTGCTATGCATTCACCACGTGACTGTCCATCGATGGGACTAAACTCCGTACAGTACAGAGTAGGTTGTAGTATGCTATTTCCATAATTATTTAAATTCTGTGATAATAGAACAGCTGAATAAAAATAAATTCAGTTTTATAAACAATGCCCGTTTTTGCACTTCTGTTTGCCGTTGATTTCTCGTAGTAAGCCTTAACAGTGCTGCGTGTTTCCATATACTTTGCTATCTATCTTCAGATTTGTCCTGTGTGCCATTTTCATTCATCCTGTAAAATATATAAAGATAAAACTGGCGTCTCTTAACTGGTGCTTTTCAAGTTCTCGGGTTTTCAGCCAAGATGTAAATAGTTCCATCGTTTAATTTATCTCATCATCAGTATTTCTGAATGCTTTCTCAGTAGATATATATATATATATATATATATATATATATATATATATATATATATATATATATATATATATATATATATATATATATGCATTTAGTTTGACAGTGTTTACTAAATATATCAATTGCACAAATTTATAGCAGAACTACTGTATTTCTTCTTAAAGAATATTTCACGAGATACTTGCTATTCAGTATTATATAAATAAATATTTTGAATAGTTTCGTTTTAGGCGTTGGAAAATTGTAGGGACTCGTCAAAAGGCATAATACTTTTTGACAACTTTGGCTGGAGTTATTTTTCAGGATCCTCAATTTTTTATCAATCATGTATAGGACCGATGCGCTTGTTATATATAGAAAACTTTTATATTTTTATAGTCATTTATCCATCTCTTTGTTAATGCGGCATTCTGGAATTTGTTTTAGCAATTTTTCTGTCTGTCAGTCGGACTTGCCGACAATGTCTCTACAAGACTCAAAATGTTGTTTTGTTTTTTCAAATGAATTTCTCCACTTAAAGCTGTTATAGATGTCGTTTGCATTTGTTCTGCTTATATAAATTTTGAGAATGTAAAAATCTATTTTGAGAATCTAAGGTTCTATTTATTGTTACAATAATCATAATTCAATAAACGTCTTAACTGGACGTTATCAATGTTGTGAAATGTCTTTGTGTTTTATTCAAAGCGGTGAAATATTCATTCCGGAAAACTAAGTTCATAAAATGAAAAGTGTACGTACATTCATGATGTGAAGTTCCATTCTAGATTAAGTATTTTTATTCATGTTTTGTCTTTAATGTAAAAGCAAAATCCAGTTCGGGCCTTTTTAAAAATAGAATGGTGTTTGGTTTTTATTGTTTTTATATTTTGGGAACAAAAATCCCAAAATACAATGATAACCATAATTTATTTTCTTTCTATTCTTACTTTTATTTTTGCATCGGAGATGCTTTGTTGACCTTAACAGAAATTTACTACAATCAACTACATTTAAGTGCAGTGAAAATTGATATATTTAGTTGTTGTGCCATTATCAAAATTGTATTATAAGAACCTTAGGAGGAGAACGTGTTATCGCTCCCGACCAAAATTGATTGTACTGTTTTAAGGAAAGAGATACCGATAGAAATGATTTTAAATAATTATGTACCAAATCTCTATCATATAATAGGTTCTTTTTAAATTCTAATTTTGAATAATACCCCTGGTATACACCTACATGTATAAAAAAAATATAAAACATATTTCATATGAATAGAAGTACATACAAGGCTTTTTCAGATGGTTCATAAATGTAGTCAATATCATTAATCCTATTTATAATCAACTTGTGTACAAAAATATTTGATTCAGAGATATTGAAAGAAAATGAAAACAAGTACTATTTACACCTTACGGCTATATACACTCAAAATCACAACACAGTATTTTTTTTTCCTTCGCTATTCAGAAAAAAAATTACATTTAATGTAGAAAAAAACCAACCTAACTTAATGTAGTATAAAAGCATTGCAGCAGTTGAAAAAAGGTTCTAATTGTTCATTGAAGAAGACGAAGTAGACTTTCTCTCAAATAAGCACATAAGTATTTTATGTGTATCAATTTTATGTTTGTTTGCCCCAAGAAAATGTCTTGGACATGACATCTTCATGGAATTTCTAGCTTCCTGCGTAATATCAGACTCTTTTAAAAAGAATTCTACATCTTCATCTGCGATTTTTATGTCTTTGCATGAAAAACCGATATCATAGATAATTCCCTTGTGAAATGTTTCTGTAATTTCTTTAATATAACCCTCTACAGTTTTTCTAATATTCTTCACGCATTCTTCTTTCAATGCTTCGTCACGCGTAAAAACTTGCAACTGGATGGACGTTTTGCTGACGGCTATGACAAAATAATGGCCAGTTTCTTCTGCCCTGTAAAATGCAGCATTTTTGAAAAAAGAATCTTCATCGCAAATCTTCCATTTCTTGAAACAAGCTACCACCAATCGGAAGAAGAAAAAATGGGGTAGATAATATTTGAAAAAGTACAACATCATGGATGATTTTGGTTGTTGGCTAATTGCATATTTTGTGTTTGACGAAAGGTCGGTTCGGTTCATGCTTGGAATGTAATACACCTCGTTCCCATCGCTAACACCTGCTTGTGATTCAATTTTTGTCATCAAGCCAAGTTTATCCATGTATTTAAGAATATCATCTTTATGCTTTGTGTATGATTGCATTAAGAAAGCATGATGTTTTTCAGTTTTCCCATAATCAGACATGCCATCGATACTTTCCCATACATGTTCAATGTATCGCCCACTTATTCTTCCAGTATTTACCAGTACATTTATATTGTCTTTCCGAGCAAAATGCTTTTCATCAGTGATGATGTATTTGAATGCATCAACAAACCACTGAACATCGATGATAATAGTTTCCTTGAATTTATCCACAGAAAAATGTATGATTTTTCCTATTTCGTGCAAGAAACGGAGAACATCATGAAGATCATCTTCGTCTATAGAAAAATCTCTTGCTGTTTCCTTCAATTCTGACCACTTCAATATTTTTTCTCCGTTTCTTTTCTTCTCATTAATACTTTTCTCAAGTTCAAACCATTTCAGAGGAACTTCTTCCCCCCAATGTGGTAGCTTTTGTACAGTTTCTACGATACATTTCTTAACAAGATCAATGGACATTTGCTGCTTTGGTGTCAAAGCTTTTGATGGACATTCTACTTCAAAATATCGATATGGAGATAGAAGTCTTCTCAAGGATTGTTCTTCATATAAACTTTCTTCTAGTTGGCTGTAAAATGTATCCGATGCGTGCAAAACTCTGCCCTGCTTAGGTAGAAAGAAAAAACCCTTAAATATCTGTTTTGAAATAAATGAACGAATGATAATTTACAATGCTCAATTAAGAGATATTGCTATCTGAGAAAGTAAGAGTTATTTTCATAAAAGCTTTGTAGATCCCCGTCAAAATAGTCTAAATCAAATCCACTGACAAACCTAATCCGTTTCATGTGTTCAACAGCAAGGCCGACCAAAATATGCAGAAAAAAAAAACAGAATAAATGTCGCAAATGTATAACCTTTTGTTTCTCATTCAAAAGATACCTATGATGTTTAATTATCAAATTCCAAGGTCAAAGTTATGGTTATAAATCACAGTAAATGTGTTACATATTTTCAAAAGTAATATGAATGTCAAATGTAAATTACGTATATGTAGAGATATAAGTAGCAATTTGAACACAAAACCTTTTCCATTACAGATCTACCATGCAAAGGAAATAAACAAATCTTTTGTTTAAAATATTTTCTTTTAAAAAATGCCACCACTTTTATCCTGATATTAAGTAATAAAAGTTGTCAAATATATCTTAAATATCTATTTATAGCTCATATAGCTTACTTCAACACGTAAAAGAAAATGGAAGTATTCTACGGCTACTGCACTTTTAGCATGAACCTGGCAAAGTGGATTTTTGAAACATACCGCCAAATTTTCAATATTTCTGAATTTTCTCCCCTTGAATAAGGACGTGACTTTTCAATTGAACGAATTTGAATCCCCTTCACATAAGGATACTTTGTGCAAAGTTTGATTCAAATTGGCCCAGTGGTTCTTGAAAAGAAGATGAAAATGTGAAAAGTTATCGACAACGACAACAAAGAGAGACAACGGACATATTTTGATCAGAAAAGTTCACTTTAGCCTTCGGTTCAGTTGAGCTAAAAAGACAATCATTACATAAAAAAGACATGCTTGCAACCGGATTGGAAAAAGGGAATCTTAAATCTAAAGAAATGTAAATATCTCGAAAGGGAACAAAATCATTTTCTTCTTTTAAAAAAGCACCCGCAACAAAATAAATTGTACCTGCCTTAATCTTATTTGAAGGGAAACTATTCGTGTACTTTAAATATGATTTAATTTGCACTGTACCATCAAAATATGCATGAAATATAAAACATTAAATGTTGTGCATTGTGTTTTAGAAATAAAGGTCCAGACTAAAATAAGCTATTAAGCGCAGTATGAAATCTATATTGAATAAAAGTATTCAATGTTGTTATCATTTATATTTACCGTTATTTGTTTTTATTAATTTTCAGAGGTACAGTGTATTGATTCAAAATTTTGAGAATGTAAGATGTAGGATCCAACTTAATTATTTTCACTGTTAAACTATTGAAAACAACATTAGGTGCTTTGAAAAGGGAACTGATGTCTGCCTGGCCACTGGAAGTAGAAAAAAAAATCTAAAATCAATGAAAACCTTAATATTTCTATGTAAATAATATGAATGGTTGTATGTAAATTAAACTTTTTTCGATTATTGATTATATACTGTTCTTACCAGCTTATCTTTATGGGAGGCAACAAGAATAACCGGAGGAAAATTGACATTCACCATGGAGTCGTTGATAGCTGTTGTATTTTTCGCACTCCTTTGTGACATTCCATCATTGCAATATGTATTAATGGTTTGTATCCAAAAGTGGAAAAAGTCTATAATTAAAAAGTAATACATCAATAAAAAACAATTAATTTCTTTTGAATGAAACTAATGGAGATAACGAACTGTGTAAATATTAAAAGCCTGAGAGACAACACAAAATTGGAACAAAGCAAACACGGAACTCCAAATCATCGGAGGAAAGACAAAGTGCCATGTAGTAGTGAATATCCCCCGCTGACCGTCAAACCCACCATGCTCTCCTTGTTATGATCTGGATATAACGGGACTCTGTCGTTAATTCAGTGTGTAAATATTGGACTAACAATTTGTATGAAAAACGCCAGTCAGCATTTGTCTGAATGATAAATTTGACAAGATCATTGTATTGACCATAGAACTTTCAAAATTATGACTTTAAACGAGACTTCTGATATTCTTGTTTCATCAACTTATTTGACAATTATTTACCTCATTTAAGAAACTGTTCATGCATAGATCATGCTCTTGCGTATCGAATCAACTGAGATATATACACTCCGTATGCAGGCTTTGAAGGTAAATTGCTGCATAAGTTGGGGGAGTTAAAATTATTTTGTTTTTCATAGAGCGTGATTGTTATACTACCATTATCCAGTTTTCAAGTAAAATATCCGAATATGGAAAAATATACCAGACCCTTTGGTATTATTTAAGGAATCACTGTCTAGTTTTGAGAGTATGCCAGGGCATCAACAATAGTGGGAAACATGGGATAATTTGCATAACGGGCAAAGCCCGTTATGCTAAAATTATCCCATGTTTCCCACTGTTGTTGATGTCCCTGGCATACTCTCAAAACTTGACAGTGATTCCTTACATTTCCATTTCATTGTGAAATAAAATTGTAGATTTAGAGTATTAAAATGTAGACATAGACTTAAATCACACGAGGACTTCCATGCTAATTTCAATAGTCCTCGTCCACTGATATCAAACACAAAGGCAACCGCACGAGATTTACATGCATATTTGGCCTCCTTAGCTTCAGACACAGAGACAGATGCGCACGAGATTTGCATGCGCATTAGGCCTCCTTAGCTCCTGACCTATCGACCTGCTTAATTTACATTCCGGTGGAATTATCAAGAAATAAACTCCGACAACTTTCAAAGAGTTATCACAGAGGAAAAAAAATAGAAATGGAAATACTGTTTTATCTCAAACTAACCAGGTTATATCGTATTGGCACAAGAATGAAAATTACCATTGTCAATTGACTATACGACGTCGATATATCTAAACTTCCAGTTAAAGGCAACCGCAAAACAAGGAGAAGTTTAACTTATTGCACATGTTAACAAAGAATCACACACGTTATTTCTCGATTCTCGCTAACATTTTGGAGCCATATAAGTCAATATAAATAGCAATTTGGCCATACAATCTTTATTTAATACAAAGAACAGTTCGATTGTAATTAATGCATAGTCTAAATACCAGCTATAAACAGGAAATTATTCATAATTCCGGCTCTTTTAAAAAGGGGATTGACGGTATTTGCCATTGAAATACACATGACACATTAATGTATCAATAAAATATAATGTTTCAGTTGTAAAACGCTTTGAAAATTTGTGAAAAATAAGCATTTTAGGGTTGATAAGGAAGCATACAAAATATTCTACCTTAATAAGTTAGTGTTACATTATGGCGCCATAGTTGACGAAAATGTTATATATTCTACTCTAGAAAATGATTAGAAACGTGTAAACATTAAAAAAATATATATGATCTCGATATCAGTTAATGTTGATGTGCCTGATTGATTAACAGATGGGTCATCAAGTATTTGAAGAAATCTTTATTTAGAGACCTAAATATATGCAATTAATTAAAAAAACGAATTGTAGGAAAATTAAGACCGCTTATTGTGTGGTTGAATATTTTGATGATGATATTGGAAAAACGAAAAAAAATCTCGCGGAGATACAAACATTTGTATCATGATTGGATCAATGTGGACTTGACACTAACTTTCAAAGTTTAGCAGTCTTTTGTTTTTAATTACAGTGCTTTTCAGTTCTAATTCAATTTTTGTTACGGCCAGCTTATGGATAATCAATGAAAGGTTGCACTGATGATGAAATTGTAATTGCTTTGTCTCAGACAACAAAGAGGAAAAATCTACTTATTTACAATGTAGCATGTCTTGTTCAGCAATGTTTAGGTCAGTTGACTTAAACTATAACGTAAATTGTTCATAAAATTATATCGAATGATACAAGAGGTGGTAAAAAATAAATAATTTTTTGTCATAAAATTTATTTATTGTTTTAGAGAAGGAAAGGAAACGTTTAAAATGATGTTCGTTCTGTTGCCTGTCAGCTGCAGAGCAAACAAAATAGGAAGACAAAAGCAGAGAATAATTATAAATTTATATAGAAATTTGCACTTTAGTGTATTACTTAATTAAAAAAAAGTTGTATGTGAAAGGTTTCGAAGTTAGATCTGCTAACACAAAAGTAAGATATGAGCCAACTTTGTCTATTTCTCACAGTTTTTAAGATCTAATGTATGACGGATGGACTGACGAGCACATGGTCAGTTGATAATTACATACAAAAAAAAATGGCAATCATCTAAAATATTTCTTTACTTTATTTTACTAAAATCTTTTCTGTTTTCCTTTTATCAAAGATCATAACACGTTGTTTACATTCTACTAAAAATCTCGAGGGATTGCCATGCAGATTGTTAAATATATTTAAGGAAAGAATTCTAAACGAAGTATATCATGACTGGGTCAAAATATTGATCAAAACAAACTTTATATATGTACATGTATTTAGAATAGATTCAAGATCTATCAATTTATTTTACCTTTAACAAATAAATGCAGATGACAAGCCCTGCAGTATGTGAATTCATCAATCTTGACATAAATTGCATCATTGTAAATAAAATAATTTGAAATAATTTTAAACTAACTGACATTTAATACACCATTCATTTTCTTTGCAATATATATTGGCTTTGCTCGAGAACTTCGAGGTTGTTGATTAATTTTTTTTTCAATATTTATACATTTAACATACGAGGATCGATCTAGAAGCTTGTAGAATGTCTTCATATCTTAATTATTTATTAGTAAAAGTATTTGAAAAATTACAAATGAATATATAAACACTTGTTTTCTTTATGAAAACAGTATTTTAAATATTTATGATATAGCTAGTTTGCAGTTGCCATAGAACCAGATGTTTGAAAATGCAGGGGTTCATTTACTCATTATCATCAGAATTCTCAAAGTTGCCTAGACACAGATTTGAATTTAATTTCTGTATTATATCACAACTTTTGCAAGTTACACGAAAATAAATCAAAAAATCTTGTTTCATAAAAAAATTATCGAAACTTTAAATTTTTGCGTGGGTTTGATCGACACATCTTTGCACTTTCACAAATTTTAATTTTATTGTTAATACTTAGGAAAAGTGGAAATCGTCTTCTGTATTAATAAAAAAAAATTAATAAAAGTTCACTAAGTGGCATAAAAAACCAAAAATATAACATTGAATATTGATACTAATGTTTCTCCTTTTATAAAGCTTAATGCAAGAGTTTAACTGCTTTAAATATATATTTTATTTATCATTTGACGATGAATTGTACACCTTTAAATAGTAAGACATCGTCAAATTTTGGTCAAGTTACAAGATTTTGCAAAATTTCGGGAACACTCTCATTCAGAATGATACATGCTTGAGAAAAATGCATGAAGTAAGTGGGTTTCCAGTATCGTGAGAAATTTAGGTAAAATTCAAGGGGTTGATTATAGGTTTGGCCACCTTTTGGAGGGTCTGTTGATTGAAGCTATGCGCTGATATACCGTGCTTAATATTACGACTGAAAATGGAACATCATATGGAAAGATCGGGAGTAATTTTAAATATGAGTGAATATGTAAATAGGTCGATGCCAGAGGATACCCAGACTTTATCGCTAAAAAAGGGGGGGGGGGGGAAATAAAAGCATTCTGTAGATCTGTTTAGTACACGTTTCACACATCGGACAGAGGGTTTTTGCTGCGACATGTACCAAATCACTTGGTACACCCTAAGCCCAAGCTTCGTGGTTCTGTGACTCAGCCATTGTGTGCACAATTACTGAGCAAATCATTACCAATGATAGGTAATAAATTCATGGACACTGGGTTAGGTCACCAGACAATGAATAATTAATCTGATGTGTTGCATATTTTTTAAAAATCTACATTGTTATTGTATATAAATTTATACCGGAAGAAAGATCTCTTTCTCTTCCCATGTCTTTCTTTCTAATTATTCAACTTTAGCAAAAATTAAAACATAAAAAATAAGAAATAAAATTAAAATCAAAATTAAAAGAGAAATTTGAGAAATGTCTAATGATAAATTGGAAATTTAGGATTTACAATTTAAATTGGTACTTTGATATACAATTATAGCTTTTTGATGAGATCAATCCCTCGATATATAGACCTTAGAGGAAGCATATTGACAGAGCACAAAGTGAGTGTTGATAAGCTTTCTCTAAGGTCTATATATCGAGGGATTGTACCAAATCAACAGCTACAAATGTTTTGTTATTTTTTATTAGTGTATAAGAAATGTCCCAGAATCCTTCTTTCTAATAATACTCAGTACCTTCTCATACAAGGCATTGTTATGTCATTGCATAATGACATCACAGTGATGAAAACCAGCTGCAGTGTCTATTTTTAAAAACATCCAGTTTATAAAGACTATTGTGACGTCAGCACCATTGTTGCTTCACAGAAGAACGTTTTCAATTTTAGAAACAGCAGGTTTATGAATTTTTAAAATAGAAACATTTAGTCTGTTATAATTTTATACTTGACCATGTGATCCAGTTTGAGCCAATCAGTTCGTTGGATCAATAAAGAAAAGTAATAATCAGAACTAATTATCGCATCGAGAAGTGAGAACAATAAAATTTTACTTACTCTGTTCCTATTTAATTTATTCTTCGATTCCAATTAGAACAGACATGGATTGATTGGGACACAACAAAAAGTCTAAATATGATTTTTAAAGTTCAAATACGCCGGAACCGTCCTATATTGCTCAAGTAGTGCATATGTATATCCAACCGTAAACCTCTCTTTTTATGCTGTTCGTTTTCTGTGGAATTCTTTGCTTTCAGGAATATTTTTTTTTATTAACAAATGTTTAATCATGTCCACAAAAATAGAATGCGCCTGACCTAAATCCAATAAAATGACACGACTATCTTTAAACAAACAGATATTTTTGAATCTATAGAAAAGAACCTGTATTGTGTTTGAAAACTACTCATTGTAGACTATCACTTGACAAGTAGATGTTGCCCCAAGGGTATAATAATCGTATCTGGGACTGTACAAAATGGTAAAAGTCAGGGTAAGACTATCCTTATCTTGATTAAATAATAAGCTACACATTAAATTTCATAATTAAATAGACAGAGATACAAAGGGCTTAATTTCGCCAGTGAAGCATGTACTTAGTATGTTGTTAAAACTTTCCCTCGCCATTCGATTTGGTCATTTGATTCGCTCTGCAGCAAATCTCATGGTACTCAGGAAATGTTTACCAAAATACACTTATCCGAATTTGACACGAGGGCGAGATGCTCATGTAACGAGACGTGACACAAGTAACTTCTCTTATCTTACGACGGAGTCTTCTCCTGCTTTTACAACTATCCATGTTCAGAAAACTCGTGCGCCCTCATCGGTTATTGGAACCTGGTTAAATTTTCTAGTATTGTTGCATAACGATTTTATATTATAAATATGCTTGCTTTCATCAAATCACGATAAAATTGAAGAAAGACATTTTAGGAAATTCGGATCAACCGTCGCATTTGTTCGCAAAACTTTCCCCAAAGATCCTCTTCAAAATTCTTATATTATAAAAAAAGAATTCTCTTTCAAATGGAGATCATAATATCTATAATACATACATGACTTCACATATGAATGCATTTTAATGTAGGTTTTAAAGTGATATTCACCTCTGTATGTCCAGAAGTGAAATAAGGAACCTGTAGGGTTATGGCGATCTGTGTCATACAGTCGACATTCTTCATCAAGCTTTTTGGACATGTCGATAACCACGATGTAGAATGCTCTTCTAGACAGATATACCTGGTGACATGCGTAATAAGCCACTTGTCCCGCAAAGTCTGTCATACTAACAACATTGTTGTCAAGATATTGGGATTCTTTTTCTGCTCTTCTGGTACTAAACTCTAATTAAGGTCAAAGAAAAGAAAAAAAAAAACATGTTAGAAATACTATAAAGCACTTGGTACTTACATATCAATTTCTGTGCTAGAACGTTTCAATTTTCTGGTTGTATATGTTGTTTTGGGTATTCACATTCTATTGATCAGGATAGTGATGAAGTTCCTTTTATTAGTTAATTGCAGTGCTATGCAGGTGCTCTTTAAGGCTTTTGGTTCAACATATGAAACGCATTAGTAGATAAATGTACAGTGTATACTATACAATTATCAGTCATTCGTGGTAAGAATAACGATCGATTTACTTCCTTTTTCTATTCAGTGGCAAATTAGAACTGTGTGAATTGCGTGAATTTCGCGTTTGTTTTCATAATATTTTCTCAGACGTAAAAATTAGGCTGTGCAGTCAGTGAAACGTCTGTTGAAAAAAAAATACTCAAGTGCAGGATAATAAGCACACAAGTTCTTTAAAACATGCAAACGTAGACCTACAGTACATTCTCGACCTTTTCGTTTACATGGTGTACATCTTTGTCCCATGGTGTTCTGTCATGTTCCATGGTGCTACTAACGCTAAAACAATATCCAGTGAATTCACCAGATATATACTGCTATTAACCAATTAAAAAACTGAGTGGGATTGATAGGAATTGCCGTAAGTATTATGAATGTTAATGTTACAGTAAAACTTGTTTTCTACGAACACGGATAAAGTAAAGTTATGGATACATCGAAATTTCCGGGTATTTCCTTGCCAAAATCTGTGCGATGTAAAAATACTATGGTTATAAGGAAGTCTGTAAAAATATATAGAGAGAGACAAAGCAAATTAATTTTGTGTTTTAAATAACGAAATTTACATCATAAATAATGTCTTAAAATTGAAAAAATGAAACTGACATTATTTCTCTGGAATATTTATATTTGTGAAGTATTTCATCTACAAATTTAATTGTCCAAGGAAAGCATTAAACTTGTTTTTTTTTTAATATTTTTTGCAATTGTCTGAAAAGATAACTTTTATATTGCTATTTTTTTTTTACAGAATTAAAAATGATATGTTCTACGGATTAGTATATTCAGAGGCCATCAGAACTTCGCTATTACCAAGTTTACTGTATCCCATTACATGTCACTCCGTTTATAATACTTATATAAACCTAAAAGATTCATTTTTGTTTGAAACAAATCATCACCTTTTAACATGTTGTCCTCGATAACAAACAAATCTTCATGGACCTCAATGCCTATGGTTGTTTCAGTTGGCTTATCTTCATCTTTCTCCTCTCCTAGGAACTTTCTAAAAATATTAAAGTTTCCTGCACCTGAACTGTTATCATAAGTTCTCATTCTTCCTTGGAGCTTTCTAGGAAGACTTCTTTTTTCTGTACTTGTTCTATCTGTATGTGTTCTCGTCCTTTCGTGGAGTTTTCGAAGAAGTGTTGTCTTTCCAGCACCAGCACAACCAACTATCATACCTCTGGCGCGAAACATTTTCACGCTTTTTTGCTGCAAGTTCTTTACAAATCTTTCTCTTGCATGGGTATCCCATCCTAAAACTTCTTTAGGTATATTTACTATAAAAAAAATTAAATATCACACATAATTTTTCAACTCATTTTTATTCAAAATATTTGCACTTATTATATTAATCAAATAAGAATAACCATTCTTATTTAGAGTGTAAAATATTAAACTTTAAGGTGTAATATCCCTCTGATAAGAGATATAACTTTCTTAAGAGATTTTTCCAGGAAACTCATGAATTGTGATGCGGGGGTATATTAAGGAAGCATATTATAAGTCATTTCTCGGGAAATTTAGAGTTTGATGAAAGAACAAGTTTGATGATTTACCACAACCGCTGATAAACGTAAACTGTTATTATCTATTGCATAAAGATAAAAGAGTTTCTAATGCAAAGACTTGCACCATCACCACAGCATCATGTGACTTCTATTAATAGCAAAATATTAATTTATAAAAAGCTAACAGTACAACAATACCCGGAGTTTAATAATTTCTTAGAGTAAATAAAATAGTTGAAAAAAACATCTATTTTGCCTAAAAAGTTCTGCTAGAATTCCACTGTCCAATCAGTAAAATAATTATTCGCACGAAACCTTACCAGATGTTTTGAATTTTATACATATGAGCCGAGATTTTTCGTTAAACCATATCGGGATTCTAGTAGCACTTTCAAATATTTTCGGAAACAAACCTTCCATGTGTACAATTCTTATGTCTTGAAATATACATGTACAGCTTATTGTTATTCTGTTGCTATTTTTTTCTCACAAGTGACAGAGGAAAGGACGACCGGGATACGTATATAGCTGACGGTCTTGGAAAGAGATTATAATCGATAGAAATAAACTAGGATACTTGTTTTATTTACTGAACTTCATATGAATTTCACTTAATATTCACAATATTTGCTTTTAAACTCCATTTTTTTTAGTCTCAGCCAAATTGATGCACACATATGACGTCATCGGTGGAAGATTTCAACCAACATGACAGATGCAGCATAACAAAATAAAAGCAATTTATTTTCGTTAATGTTTACACGTTTCTATTTATTTTCTAGTGTTAAATTACCTCTCAAAATACCAATATTACGAAAACTTGTGTTATATAGCCTACAATGACTATTATGATTTTTAATAAATTTCATACAACACGTAACATAATGACCAATGACAATAAAACATTTTCAATAGATGTTTCTAAAGTCCCCGAGTATATATGAAAATAGTAATAATCTATTTTCTTATAAAAATGATATGGTGATTAGGAACGTTTTCAACGTATTTTTTAAATAACCCCTGTATTAGATGAACACGCATACTTCGTTTAACTTTAAATATTATATTGTAGTAGTTTAGATTTTCATTTCATTGCCATCATAACGTAGTTTAAATTATAGAACTATTCCTGAAATTTCAGGCTCATAATTCTATTTACCAAATGTTCTCAGGTGTTACTTAGGCCATAAAAAAAAATTCCTAGATTCTCATCCCCGCCCGCCCCGATTTTTATACCCCCGCCTCGAATTTTTTTTATTTCTATTTCCCTTTGTCTTAACTCTGATCGGGATCGGTAATTATCTACCATTCTACTTTCGTTTTAGATCCCGCGAAAGTCGACATGATTTTGACAGCTGAAAAGATAGTAATTGCTGTAATACATGCGTATATATTTTAAACAGGGGTCATTGGTTGAAAAAGATTGGTGATGATGAGAAGTAAGAAATAATTGAACCTTTACTATGACTTTTTTGGGGTATTGTAGATAAAATTACACCGATTGATCAGGTCAATAAAAAATCTGCAAAATTGAAAAAAATAAAAAATATAAAATAAAAGCCGCCAGTCCGCCTCGATTTTAAAAAAAAAAATCGGATGAGAATCTAGCAATTTATTTATTATTATTTACTTAAAATCCCATTTTTATATGTCTTTTATAACATAAGTCACGAGCTGACATTCCAAATGTTTTACTTTTTAAACAGGACGTTTCATGCAGTCTTTCCTTCGTACTTCTGATCGATTAACTTAGCTTTAGGATATTTGGTAGTCATTGGCTCTTTATTTTGGATTATGCTAGTGTATTTAAATCCGTGCTCGTGTAGTTTTTTTCACTTAGGTTGGAGAATACAACATCATGGTTACTTCCTCTTTTCCTTGTTAAGAAAACCTCATGGTTTATGAGCATTATTTTATTAATACCTTTGGGTGCTAAGAAAACTTAATCGTTTATGGGCACTATTTGATTAGATACTTAGAAGGCTAAGAAAACCTTATGGGTTAACGGTACTCTAGGTCCTAGCTTCGCTTTAGTTCACGTTTTTCACACGTTCTTGGTTTTTGTAGGGAAACAGTTAGGATGTAGGTTACATTTATTCAAAGTAAACTAGTGCTAATTGTAACGGGAACCGTTACAGATGTTCCCCAAACGCTCCCCAACTCCCTTTTGGTGCCATATTCCCTGTAAGCCTTATTAAATAAGACAACATCTGTGCTTTTTTGACTTTAACAACGTTTTCCCGAAGGATACCAATTATATTCAAATTTTAACATTGCACGCGTACCCATGTGAATGCACGTGCATAATGATCATATAATCTTGTCTACTCTTTCTATATATTAAAATATACTTTATATGAAAGCATTTAGTCCAAAAGTATTAAAAATCACTCATTCAAGTGTATTTTCAATTTCACTCATTCCAAATGCACGCACGTGCGTGCACGTGCATGATGACCATACCCTCTTGTAGGAGGCCCTTATATCTATCTATGTTCTAAATCCCATCCTGTTTGGTTGAAAACCAAGGGAATTATAGCCATTTTAAGTTTTAGCCAATCAGATTGCAGCACACGTGCATCCACGTGATTTCAAGAATTTTTTAAAAATCATATTGTAGAATATCCTAATGCATAGACTATGTTTTAAATTTGAAAGCATTTCATCAAAAAGCAAAGTAGATATGGCCATTTAAAGTTCCAGCCAATCAGATTGCAGCACACATGCATGCGCCTGATTTCTTGAAATGTTTTGTATATCATATTGCAGGATATCCTAATACATGACTATGTTTTAAATTTCAAAGCATTTCGTCAAAAAATAAAGGAGATATAGCCATTTAAAGTTTCAGCCAATCAGATTGCAGCGCACGTGCATGCACGCGATTTCATGAATTTTTTCCATATTATATTGTAGGATATCCTAATTCATGACAATGTTAAAATTTTCAAAGCATTTCGTCGGAAAACAAAAGAGATATTGAGATTTTTGTTTCAGCCAATCAGAGGAAGGCGCACGTGCATGCGCGTGAGTTCGTGCTAATTTGACAGTGTCATATTATTAACACTTTTGAATATATCCTTATGTAATGAGTTTCAAAGCATTTCATCAAAAAATGTAAAAGTTATAGCTATATTAAGTATATCAGTCAATTCACTCATTTCACGCGCACGCACGTGCAGGCGTATGCGCGCAAAATGACTTTCGTTCCGCACACCTACACTACACACCTATTAACCCTAAAAAGGTTTTAGCTCAGTTGGGTGAACAGTTTCTGAGAACACTCGCGGACAAAAAAGTACCGGAGAACAAATAAGAAAAAAAATAATAATAATAATAAGAAATAAGAAAAAAAATAATAATAACTAGTGCTAATTGTAACGGGAACCGTTACAGATGTTCCCCAAACGCTCCCCAACCCCCTTCTCGTGCCATATTCCCTGTAAGTTTCATTAAAGAAGGCAAAATCTATGCATTTAAGACGTAAACAACGTTTTCCCAAAAGTATACCAAGTATTTCAAATTTAAGCAATGCAGGCGTGCGCATGTGATTGCATGAGCGTAATGACGATATCATCTTGTCTACACTATTTTACTCATTTGCACGTGCACGCACGTGCATGATGACCATACCTTCTTGTAGGAGTCCATTATGTCTGTCTATGTTCTTAATCCCATCCTGTTTGGTTGAAAAACAAGGGAGTTATAGCCATTTAAAGTTTAAGCCAATCAGATTGCAGCGCACGTGCATGCGCGTATGTTTCATGACAATTATTATATATCATATTGTAGGACATCTTAAAGTATGCTTATGTTTTAAATTTCAAAGCATGTTTGTAAAAAACAGAAAAGATATTGAGATTTTTGTTTCAGCCAATCAGAGCAAAGCGCACGTGCACGCACGTGCATGCATGTGAATGGTGACCACACCATCCTGTAGGAGTCCTTTATGTCTATCTATGTTGTAAATCCCATGCTGTTTGGTTGAAAACCAAGGGAGTTATAATCATTTAAAGTTTCAGCCAATCAGATTGCAGCGCACGTGCATGCGCGTGATTTCATGAAAAATTTTATATATCATATTGTAGTACATCCTAATGCATGTCTATGTTATAAATTTCAAAGCATTTCATCATAAAACAAAAAAGATATTAAGATTTCTGTTTCAGCCAATCAGAGCAAAGCTCACGTGCATGCGCGTGAGTTCATGCAAATTTGACCATGTCATCTTATCTACACAACTTATACATCTTTATATAATGAGTTTCAAAACATTTTATCAAAAAATATAAAAGTTACAACCATATTAAATATATCAGTCATTTTACTCATTGCACGCGCCCGCACGTGCATGCGAATGCGCGCAAAATGACCTTCGTTCGGCACATCTACACAACATGCCTACTAACCCTAAAAAGGTTTTAACTTAGTTTGGTGAACAGTTTCTGAGAACACTTCCGGACAAAAAAGTACCGGAGAAGAAATAAGAAGAAAAAAGAATAATAATAATAACTAGATGTTCCCCAAACGCTCCCCAACTCCCTTTTGGTGCCATAAAGCTTCATTAAATAAGATGAAATCTATGCATTTTGACTTTAACAACGATTTTCGTTAAAAGAGAATGACATTAAGTTTTTCTTCATGAAATTTAAACCATTTCTGTTTTTTATCCAATATACTAACATCTTTTGTTCCAATATTGCTTATAAAAATACTCCCATTTGTTTTTTGCAAAGCATAAACAATATAGCATTTTGGCCCCTGGCATA